CCATTGAAGGATGGTGCAAACCTTATGTCAAAGCCTCTGAGATCATCAACGCTCAGATTCCTGCCAAGATTAAGACTGGTCTAGACTTTTCCTATGATCAGAAAGATACTGTCACTGACAGGTCCATGCTCAAGTTTGGTACCTTCGTCTCTTCTATTCCTGACACTTCTTCCTCTCAGTCTTCTATCACTAAGAGTCATCTTGAAGGAAATTCTTTGAGTTCAGGTCGCACAGACAAAGATAAGACCATTGTCATAACACCTCTTCCCAAGAAGGCTGACAAGTCATATAGATCAAGATCTATTCCTTCAGCTTGTGCACCTTTTTCTTCCTTAGGGATCAAGATATTTGAATCTTCTCATAAATCTAAGTCTAAGATCAAGGTGAATGTTTCACCTAAGGACTCCAAATCCTCAGTTGTTCCTCCTAGAACAAATGAGAAGGGAATACTTGGAGTTTGTCTCTCTTCTCCTCTGGTACTTCCTGGCCCTAAAGCTGGTTTCAGCTATAGGAAGTGTAGACACTATGGTCAAACTACGCATATTGCTAGCAAGTATCCTTCTGCCGCCAAGGCTGACCCTACAGCCAAGGGAAAGAAAGTAGCCAAGGCTGAGAAATCTACCAAGGCGAGAATTATGCCACTAAGGTTGTAAAGACAACTAAAGTGAAGAAAACCACTGAAGCCTCTTCCTCAGGCTCAGTGAAGACAACTAATGACTCTAAGTCTTCAGCGTCAGTTGTTGTTGTTCCTCTTACCACTGAAGCCTCTTCTTCAGGCTCAGTGAAGACACCTACTGACTCTATTCCTTCAGTGTCAGAGGTTGTTCCTAATCCCACTGAAGCCTCTTCTTCAAGTTCAGTGAAGCCTTCTGTTGACATTGAGTCTTCAGTTTTCAGTGGATGTTGCCTTTAACACTGCTGGACCCAAATAGAAATGGGTACCAAAGCAATTTTAAACTATTCCTTTGTGAAGGAAGTCAAAGCCATTTGGTATCTCGATAGTGGATGCTCAAGACATATGACTGAAGACAAATCCCTGCTCATCAATTACAAGGATGAAAGAGGCCCTTCTGTAACCTTTGGAGGAAACGGAAAAGGATATACCAAAGGTTTCGGTGTGTTAACCAATGGTGCAACCACTTTCAAACGTGTTGCATATGTTGTAGTAATGAAGCACAATTATCGTAGCATCAGTCAATTGTGTGATAAGGATTTCATGGTGAAATTTTCTAAGAAGTCATGCTACGTCTTTGACAAAGATGATAAGGTTGCTCTAACCGGTTCTCGTCTAGAGAATGTATATATCATCAACATGGATTCTCCTCTTACTGAGAACAACTGTTTTCTTTCAAAAGATTCGTCAGTTATCAATTGGTTGTGGCACAAACGACTTTCTCATCTCAACTTCAAGATACTCAGTGAACTGTCTCGGAATGATCTTGTCATTGGTCTTCCTCAACACACCTTTGTAAAGGAATCTCTTTGCTCAACATGTGAAAAGGGAAAACAACAAGAGTTAGCTTCAAGTCTAAGCAAATCTCTTCAGTGACATCTCCACTTCAGCTATTGCACATGGATCTCTTTTGTCCTGTTAACATACAGTCCATAGCTGGAAGAAATATACACTTGTCATTATTTATGAGTACTCCAGATACACTTGGGTCTTCTTTCTCAGATCCAAAAGTGAAGCACCTGAAGAAATTATATCATTCATCTAAATGATAGAAGTACTTAACAATATTAAGGTACGATCTATCAGAAGTGACCATGGAACTGAATTCAAAAACAGTACTATGGATAGCTTCTTTGAGAACAAGGGAATCTCTCACAACTTCTCTTATGTGAGAACTCCACAACAAAATGGGGTCTCTGAAATGAGAAATCAAACATTCATTGAGGCTGCTCGATCAATGCTCAGCGAATCTCACTCATTTCTGGGCTGAAGCCGTTAATACTGCTTGTTTCACTCAAAATCGATCGCTGATCGTTAAGAGATTCAAGAAGACAGCTTATGAACTCTTACATAGCATAAATCCTTCTCTCAGCTTTCTTCATATTTTTGGTTGACGTGTTTTATTCTGAATAATCGTGATCAACTAAAAAAGTTTGATCACAAAGCTGATGAAGGAATCTTTCTTAGATATTCTCTAGTATCCAATGCCTTTAGAGTATTCAACAAATGTCGACAAACCATAGAAAAAACTATTCATGTCACTTTTGATGAATCTCAATCAACTAATTCTAAACCCATCAGTAATGATGATGAAGAATTAGAAAACTGGATGTTCTCTCATGTTGGACAACCTAAAGCTTCCTTCAGCAATCAACCCAATGTTGATACTCTAGAAGTTGATGATGATCCACTTATCATTCCAATTGCAACTAATAATTGAAGTGAATCTTCTTCAGAGATCATTGCAGTGCCCATTAGTTGTCTTTCTCCCTCTACTTCAAACACTGACCAATCAGTGAATGAAATGCCTTCAGCATCTGAACCTCTATCAGTCGTTGAATCTAAGGCTCCTTTAGCAATTCTACCCATTGCTAAAGAATCTACAGCTGAAGCCTTATCTTCTGTTTCTGAACATCAATGCTCAGATCACAATCCTCTACCAGCTCATCGATGAACAAAAGACCACCCTATTCATCAAATTCTTGGTGATCCAAGTGTAGGTATTTAGACAAGACATGGTCTAGGTAATATATGTATCTTTGTCAACTTCCTTTCTATAATTGAACCCAATAAAATCAATGATGCTATCTCAGACCCTAGCTGGGTCATTGCCATGCAAGAGGAGCTCATTGAGTTTTATAGGATCAAAGTCGGGTACCTTGTCACACGTCCGTATGACAAAACTGTGATAGGCACCAAATGAGTTTATCGCAATAAGTTATGTATGTCCCACTTTAATGATCAATCTTCATAAAACCTTGATAACCATGGCAGATCTGAGATTTTAGCTCAAGAACATTAAGATGAACTTGTAAGAACATAGAGAGAGATGAGAGGAAAAGTCAATTCTTCAAATCTGGTCAAACATCTTATTACGTATCAGATTTACAAAATAAGCTCCCTCCTTAACAATTACAAAGACATTACCCTATTTATAGGGTCAAACTTCTAAACACAAGTCAAAGTCAAACCTGCCTAAGAAAAGTCAAACACGATGACTTTTACAATTATAGACAATATTTAACTTTCAAGACGAATACAATTTAATACTGATTTTCAGTCCTAACAAGTTAGATGAACAAGGTGTGGTAACCCGTAACAAGACTCGTCTTGTTGCTCAGGGTTATAGAAAAGAATAAGAAATCGATTATGATGAAACCTTCGAACCAATGGCTAGACTCGAAGCTATTCGACTCTTCCTAGCATTTGTTGCTTAAAGTCTACCAAATGGATGAAAAGAGTGCTTTCCTAAATGGAAAACTCCAAGAGGAAGTTTATGTTGAACAACCTCCAGGATTTCTTGACCCTAAGTATCCAAATCATGTTTATCGTTTGGATAAAGCTCTTTACGGGTTAAAACAGGCCCCTCGTGCCTGATATGATACCTTCTCCTCATTTATCATCTCTGAGAAATTTTTTCATGGAAAGATTGACCAGACCTTATTTCTTAGGAAAGTTAAAGGTCATATCATTCTAGTATAAATTTATGTCGATAATATTATATTTGGTTCCACTAATCCCTCTTTGTGTTTTCGATTCGCTGATCGCATAAAGAAAGAATATCAGATGAGTATGATGGGAGAACTACCTATTTTCTAGGTCTCCATATCAAGCAATCCGATAAAGGTATTTTTATCAACCAAAGTAAGTATGTCCGAGATATGCTGAAAAAGTTTGATCTATCCAATAGCTAATCTATGAAAACTCCAATGGCTCCTCCTCTATCTCTAAACAAGGATCCAAATGGAAAGCCTGTAAACGTAACTGTTTATAGAGGAATGATCGGCTCCCTGCTGTATCTCGCAGCATGTCGACTAGATATCATGTATTCTACTTGTCTTTGTGCATGATATCAATCTGAACCTAAAGGAATCCCATATGATTGCAGTAAAATGCATATTCAGATACCTGAAGGGAACTCTTAACTTGGTTCTATGGTACCCTAATGGTTCAGGTTTTGACCTAATAGGTTATTCGGATAGTGATTTTGCAGGTTGCAAAATTGATAGGAAAAGCACCACTGGAGGCTGTCAGCTTCTAGATGGAAGGTTGGTAAGCTGGACGAATAAAAAGAAAAATTTTGTGTTCACATAACTGCTGAAGCTGAATACGTTGTCGCTGGAAACTGTTGTGCCCAAGTCCTTTGGATGAAAAACCAGGTCAACGAATATTTTCTTCAGTTTTCTAAAATTCTTATCCATAATTTTGGCTAACATTTGAACCAGCCCCTATATATACATACATATATATATATACATATATATATATATATACATATATCCAATCACACACTAATAATTTACACTGATCTCCGATCTAAATACCACCACGCATCACCTTCACATATCATCTTCTTCTCCATCTATATCACTCCCACTCCATATCATTCTCCAAATTCACACTCTCTTCATCCTTGATTTAGTTGAGGAACTTAATGATTCGGCGAAAAATCATGTGAGAAAAGAAATCATAACGAGAAGCATAAGAAAAAAGCTAWACCCTTATCACTTTTAATCTCATGACCACCTATAAATTGCGTTTTAAGAGGGAATTAATTCGATACACCTCATTAAATTGCGTTTTAGAAGGGAATTAATCCGATACAGCTCATTAGTGTTGATATTCAATTAGAATTAATACAAAAATGGTTTCAGATCAAAAACCAACTCTAAATGATTCAAGACTAAATTAACATTAGATTTTAGAACCAAAATAATATGTAATGTATCTTAAAAACATTACATTTTAAAACCAAATTTTCGTATATTTTGTTAATATCAAATTATAATATGGTTGGCATTTACTGCAAAACCGTTTAACTTCATATAGTATAACATTTAGAAAAATACACCAACGCCACCACCACTCCCGACCCATGTCTACATTCTCGCAGTGGTACCACCATTCACCGTGCACCTACTCAAACCTATCCTATCGTTGCTCTAGAGATCTAACAAAATTCCAAAACAACAAAAAGAACGAATTATTTCATTACAGAAACAACTGCACCATCAGTAGAAACCGATCCCTTGATTTTCTTGTTCCCTCCGTTCAATATTTTAGCTTTCCGTTTCTTTAAAGACCGCTGCTTTGAAACTTCTTCATTGGCCCGTTCTTGCCCTTTGGCGACAGCTTCTGTAGGACCCACCAGAGACTCATCTTTCGGGTCCTCAACAACACCCATATCTGGCTCGACAATCGACATCCCGTTAAGTGTGTAATCCAACAGAAATGTACTCCTTTCCAATCTATCTATCCTGCTGTAATGCCTTTGTGAATATGGTATGAGCCCTTCAAGAAGTTCTCCAATGCCTCTCATCTTAAAAACAAACAAACAAACAAAATGTAAATTTTACTAAAATTCAGCATCCTCTAACTTTGCATAATCAGACCCCACTTTTCATGTGATTTACTGGGTTCGTTTGCACTACAACAAAATCAGCTTTATAGGACGCCAAAGATGTCTAAATATCATCACAGAATGCTTCATAAGACTTAAGTTTATAGAACCAAACAATTGTTCATCCCATGTAAAAGTGGTATAATAAGTTAATAGGATTCTTATTCTTTATAAGTATCCAAACAAGTTTTTTAGTACACATTGAAATAAAATACCCTATTAGCTTTTTCTTAATAGAACATAAACACATATTTTATAAGACACTTGTTTTTACAAGTCACTTTCAATAATGTCATTAAAAAAGAYTAGAAGGATACTTGCGTAATTCAACAAGATACATCTTTATTTTAATGTTTCGTTTTATTTTCAATCTCTTTTGATATAATACAATTATGTGGTATTGAGAAAAATAATGTTTTTACTTTTGAACAAAAATAAATTTGAAGATATCATAAAAAAATATATTGATATTAATATCAAATTAACTACTTAAAAGTTCTATTTTTTGTACAACTAGTTGTGTACCCGCGCAATGCGGCGGGAGCCATGAATTTTAACGATTTTGAAGTTCCACTGGTTTTATAAGATAAGATTTG